CTTTGACATACAGACTGGAGGAGGGAGGAGGGAACGAACCACTGATCTTCTGGTTAGTGGACGACCCACTCTGCCTTTGAGCCACAGCCACCCACAGTACATTGTGAATAAGAAGTCTGTAAATCAGAGATTAAATTATTTTAAGAGTCGTACAGCACAGAAAGGTTTAAGGTTAAAGGTCAACATTCAGGCTTCTCCTAAATGTTTGAGAAACAAATACATCTTTATTTGTATACTTCAATATATCCAGAATCCAGCTGCTCATCTTCTCACACACTCTCGCACCCATGACCACATCACCCCTGTCTTTCATAACCTCCACTGGGTCCCCATTCCCCAGCGTATCCACTTCAAACTCCTCCTCATCACCTATGAAGCCCTCCACAACCTGGCTGCCCCCTACCTGTCTGAGCTCCTTCACCTGCACACGCCCTCGCACAATCTCAGGTCTGCTGACCATAAATCATCAGTGACCTTGAAATGAACCTGGGAATTTCCAATTCTCTTGGTTTTTACTTTCTGTTTTACTCTAAATAAAGAGGACTGATAACCTCTAACCTCTGTTTAGTACCTGGAAAAAGAGCTTTGGTGCCACTCGAAACTGTGTATGAGTAAATGTTCTCAGTCATCCAGGTCATGGTAACTCTAACTGCTCATGCACGTCCAGTTGCCTACGATATAGCACTTAGAATTATGAGTAAATATTTATCATCACAGGGTCAGAGAATGAACATCCTCCTGCTGAGCCAGGTTTTCCCCATCACCTCACGGCTGTCACCGTGTGTTTACACTGATGTGTCTTAGAGGGCACAAGGGATTGAAACCAAATAACTTCAGTGGCTTTAGCTCTGTTGTTGTTTCTTAGCGGACTAGATGATGTGTAATCTTCCCTATATCCCAGTCTGTGGTGTAAAACCAGTAAGGCTCTCAGTATGTGATAGATAATCAATGACATAGATAAATGGGACACTGTTGCAGCTGGTTCGGGCTTACAGCAGCTCAGCTCATGACTTACACCATGTTTACAACAAATGACACTTGAGGAAAATGTCACTGGTTCCTCAGTAAAGCCTCTTGTTTACAGTTTGTTTAGTTTTACTTTGGTACATACTGAAGATGCACGTACAGACCAGGGGTTAAAAACATAACATTTTAGTTTCATTATTTTTCCAAACAAAATGTTGGTGAACTGGAGTTTCCTCTGAATTAACATTGGTCACAAAACGGTTTGTGAATTCACTGTATGATCTATATTCAAAATATTATATTTGACTCGCTGATTTTTCATTTAACTGCATAATTAGGTTAACAATTTTATTTACCCAATACTTTGATTTCTGACCTAACCTCAAGCAATATTAACTAGAAAAGCGCACTCAGTAGAGCGTAGTTCTCTGCTAGGCAGCCACCCAGTTGTTTAAGACAATTCTGATCCAGTAAATGCAGCACAGCATCTTTTAAAAGTATCCCAGAAGCTAATAAAAATCACTTAGGTTAGAAGCACAACTATCAAGAAGGAATGACCAAATATACAAAAAAATCAGGCAGGCAAAACGCTCACTTTCTGAAACACGCCCGCTATGATATGAGGCTGTGCGGCAGACGTTACAAAAACCAGGTCGCAGCCAGACCATGGAGAACTACAGTCAGTGGAACTGTCCCTCCTAACTTCTATGAATGTCAGTTTGTGAGCCATGATGGAGGTTAAAACGTGGCCTGCAACAGATGGTAAGGCTTGTTTTGTTTTCAGCCGAACTGATTTCTGCAAAACTTGGCCTCTACCAGTTGGTATAGAGGAGTGAGGAGTCAGCAGTCAGTGACGGTATAAAACGCTCAATAAGACAGGTTTTTCAACATTGTGAATCGCTGCAACCAGGAGAGGTCCTTGAACAAACAGTCATAAATGTGCACACAAATTATTAGGCTGATTGGTCCAGTAGTTTGCCAGATTAGCTGCAGACCGACGGATACACACACAACCAAACGTACGATACCCTCCAGGTTTATGTTATGTTTATGTTAAGATAACATTCCCGTCAGCCCTAGCTGTACTGTGTTTAATGCTAATTCGCAAATCTTAGCATGTTAGCATCACAACTGTAAATATGTTAGCAAGCTCTGGTGTTAGCACTAAGAGTGAAGCACCACCATGCCTAAATAAAGGCTCGAAGGGCTACTAGCATGACTGGGAACATTAGACAACTTCACATACATTAAATATACAGTTTTGATTATTATTATTTTTTTTTTTTTAATTGGCTAATTTACTTTATTACACTCATTCAATTCATTCTAACTGCTCAGTTTGGCTGAAAATATTCCACAAATGCAACAAAATTATTGGAATCTACAACTGTAAAACAGAACATAACAAAAACGGCAAAATAGAGTTTAAATTTAAGTAGAAATTATAACATCAGTTTTCGCAATAGCTTAATCTTTAACTTCCACCTGGTGTTAGCAGTGCACATGCGAATATTTTACGATCAATGACTCAATCTTTCTCGCCAAAATACACACTGGGAGTTGTAATTACCTTCTCCCCAGAAAATGTTTAGGTAGGCAAACGTCTTCTACTTTTACCAATGAACCAAATTTTTTGTAACTCCAACTGTAACATCATCTACGGGACAAAGGAATGGGGCTTTTGGATATGTGGTTTAACAGGAGGCTGTATGTGGTACTACAGTAAACATCAGCTGTATCTGCAGTATTTTATGTTGACATAACGTGTGCGACTTTAGGACGGCAGGATTTGCCCATAAAACTAAGACTACATAAGGTCTGCTCAAACACAGGTTACATGAAGTCAAACACATCCTCTTTAAGCAATTAAACTGACCACTGTTTTCCTTTCCATAACTGCTCTGCAGCGAGAGGTCAAGGTTAAAGCCAGAGTTGTGCAAAAGCACGTCAGTGCTGGGGTATATTTTCCCTCCCAGCTGTTTCCAGCGCTGACCGCCCTCCCCCTCTATAGTATCTGCACAGGAGAAAGGGTTTTGCCCACTGATGTCTTTACCAGCCTGGGCAGACATGGGACTGAGGGGATAGGAAATGCAATTAGAAGTCACAGTAAAGAAGGAACATTAGCAGCGATGGACAAAAGAGGTCACAGCCCTGCAACCCCAGGTGAGGAAGGAGGTCGTAATCATAAGCACCCATTCCCTTTCCTGTATCAGGACGGGGAAGGAGGTGGCCAGGCAGACTGCGACACAATGGCCCCAAGTCTTCATCAGTGCTGTCCACAATGCTGAGAGTCAAGAGCCCCAAAGAACCACCAGCGATGAGTTTAATAATCTGTGATTTAGCCTCAATCATGGATGGACGATCCTGATCCCAGTGGCACATGTGGCCTAAATAATGACCTACTTGAAAAATAAGACCAAGTATGGAAAGAGGTGGGCAGTATTTCATTTAAATGTATTGAAAATAGGTATTTAATTATTTCATTTAATTATTTTGTAATTTGTATTTTGCAGGAGAGAAAGAAATAAGATGTAATTTGTAAGTATTGGTGGATTAGAGTAGAACAGAGAGACCTTCTTCTTGACAAATCGGGATAACAGGGGGCCACATGTAACAACAGCAAAACTATATCAAAACATCTGTTTGCAAACTCTCACATAACTTGTGCTACATCATTAAAGTCTTACTTATCAAGTCGTACACGAACTCTCAAACACATGCATTTGCGCCAATACCTTAAAACACTTCCGCATACGAGTAGTGCGCCTGGGAAAGCACATGCATTGAACTCTGCTCATGCTATCCACTCAGCAAAGTTCCAACACGTGTGTTTGCCAGTGGCACCTCCAAGGGAAAGGCCGAGTATAAAAAAAAGTATATTGAATTCAATTGAAATGATAAGTAAAAAATAAATCATTCAGTTCTAGCAATCATTGTCCACTGTGTCAGTTAAAACAATGGTCAACTGCTACATTTGTGCACAGGGAATAAAGAAATGACATGAGTCGACAGGAAAATCCATGGAGGCGACAGGAAACACATTTGCACAGACCTCTGTCATAATGATAATGTTCCAGTGAACCAGTTTTAATACGTCCTGTGTCTTAGTCAGTCTAATAAAACGACTCCCAGAACCATCCAACCATAGCTGACCTTTAATATCGTCACTGCCCTGCACTGGGCAACACATCCAAAATGTGGAAAAACACTTGATGTTAAACAAAGGATATCCTTTAGACCGGAAAGAGCGCTCCCTCCGCTCAACTCTAAGTGCTGTATTTATTAATTGGCGCCAAACACAATACGCTGGTGGTTGTTGAATTAAAGGTACATTCCCATCCTTTCCCAGTGCAACGAACAGGATGTTTGTCTGTTCTTTGGATGGTTTGTTTCCCTGCTATATGATCATGTTGTACTTTTCAAAATGAGCTTAAATTCTATGATCCATGGCAATAATGTTTAAAACTAATACTTTAATATTTAAAAAATTTATTTAAACTAAATATAGAAAGAAAAATGTTCAAACAACTACCGTTTATATTTTTCTAATTTAATTTCCATCTCTTTACTTTATAAAAACCACGCAAAGAGTAAAAATAAAATATTTACACTTTCGCTGTTTCAGAAAGGTCAGAACACTCAGATACCAAGACAAGCTCCATCTTTTCCCCTCTTGTGTTCCCTATGAGAGATATATTGGGATTTTATTTAGTCTGTAGATACCTGTGTTCTCTACAGTTAATTGATGGCACATTGTTTTAAAAACAGCATGTATACAAAAGTGTTTCCAAAAGTTCCTCCTATCTACTTCAGTGGGCCTGCTGACAGTTTGGCAGGTAAACATAAACACTGTGGAGGGATTAAATTGCTTTGCCAGTAAATCTTGCCCTGAAACATCACAGGAGGGGCTGGGGAGTCATTTATAGATAATTAGCCACACAATAGGTGACGCACACGGGAACAAACAGTTATTTCCGCGTCTGCACGGAATAATATCTTGAATAGCTTTGTTTATAAAGAAGAGACAGGCGCAGTTGATGTGCTTACGTTCAAACAAAGGTTTTATTTGTCTTTATTTACAGTCTAAAAATACATTATGTTCTTGATCATACTGCGGAGATACAAATCATAACACACAAACTTCACATTTCACATTCTAAAGTGCAAAAGATATTCAAATTCCTAATCTAAATGCATATTGAAGTATAAAATGTCACAGCATCATAAATGGTACATTTATTGATATAAAATATGTGAACTCCAACGTGAGATTTAGGTGTGCAGAATAAATGCAGTTGAAGATAAATCTCTTTTAAGTTATAAGGTGGACTAGCCCAGCATTCTGGAGAGATCTTGTTTCTCTCTGGAAAAAGGAAGAAAGGTTTAAACATTATTTCATGATGCTGATTAATGAGTTTATCAAGCTGAAAGTATCACAGGAGCAAGACACAAAAGCCCCGTTTCCACCAAGCAGTACGGTTCAGTTCAGTTCGATGCGCTTTTCACATTATGTGACAACTCTGACCATTCCATTAGTTTCTATATGACATACACTTTTAGTAATGAGTGGATCTTCACGTGTTTATATATATTAATTTCGACCGGGTTATGCAAATAGCATATATTCGAACCCTCACTTGGAGAAAAAATAAAGTGTCCTGCAGCAGTGTTGTTCCTGTGGGCTCTGGCAACACTAAACCCCTGAGCTTGCCTGAGAAGGACTAAAAGCACAAACCAGCTATTTTTGAATATCCCATGGAGAGAGACTCTCACTGCAGCCTGTTTTATTTTGTTCTGAAAATGTTGGCGTGCAGCCTCGTTCTGTGGATGATAAACGAGGTGCAGACTTCCATCTGTGTCGCTGGTAATGAGGAAATACAGTGAGTGTTGGACCCACATGAAAGAGTACTGTCTGAGGTGGAAACACTAGGCTCTAGGTACCATGTCTGAAGGGTTACTTTTGGTTCCAAAGGTACCATACTGAAAGTGTTTGGTGGAAACGGGGCTGAAGACTTTGTGGTGGTTTTGTCTCTTTTTTTATTGTTGTTGTTTTGTGTCTTTGGGTTAATTTTGTGTCTTTTTTTGGTCATTTTGTGTCTCTTTGTGGTTGTTTTGCCTGTTTTGTAGTAACTTTATATCTCTTTGCAGTTTCTCAGTCTGTGCTAATTTGAGAGACGTTTTGTAGGTGACAGCCAGGTGAGCTCCGACACTTTCAGCCCCTGGGCCTGTGCCCAGTAAGCTTAATTTTTTTCCAAAAACGATTGCCATTGCACCGGGTGATGTGTTCCTTCATTACAATAAACGTGGTCACTGTAGTTTTTATTTTGCAGTAATCATCCTGTAAATATTCACTAAGTCATGTATTTTTGTGTGTTAATCCACGTCTGAAAGTAGTCCCAAATAAATGCACTATTTAGTTCTGGCTGCTTAACATTTGCTAAAAACTATAGTGCCCAACTGTTTCAGGAAATCATTAAGAAAAAATAAAACTGCATATTTATGATATGTTTTTAAATATCTACATCATCAGTGGGAGCCAGTGGGTTTGAGGCTGAGTGCAACATATTAAGTACATGTAGTAAATATGTACCGCAAGTATTGAGGGACAGACTGTGTTGCTGGCTTTGTTTTTTTTCTCATGATTTTTTTTTTTTTTTGGACAATAACAAAAAATAATAGAATACGGCTCCTGTGCACACACTGTTCAACAGAGAACAGCAGCAGCACTTTCACATTCACTCACAACCTACAGCAAAAGATACTGAATACTCACTCTGGGCCAGAGGGGTTGATGAGGCGTTGCAGATCTTTAAGGTGTTGAGCGACGCTGACTGTAAACACAAGAAAACAGTGATTAGTCATTACGTAGCCATGATGTAACTAAACATAATGCTTTACAATATCACAGAAACACTAACAATAAGCCTTTCTACTGAAGTGGAAGTCGTGGAGGTACTGTAATATATAGCTTGGAATCAAAAACATACTTTATATACAAAGAGACAGATTAACAGATTACTCATGATGTTCTTTAAAGGGGCCGTTCACCCATATTATCTATATATCTGTCAATGCCAGTAGTTTTAATTTTATATATCCAGGTTTTGAGATATCCATCATCCCTGAGAATGGGAGCAATAGAATTTTATTTGTGCTTTCCGAAGCATTATAAATTTAAATGAAATAATCAGTAGCTCGTGCTCCTGTGACTCAGGATTAATCACAGATGTCCCTGTCAACTATCCAGGAACGACACAGTTTTGAAAAAAGTTGCTTCTGCAAATACATACAACATACATTTCCATTCATCTCTATTGTATTGGGGTAGAGGCATAAATATCAAAGATGGATATCTCAAGACCTGGGTGAATAAAAGCAAAAAACTATGTGCATGGCTGGATACCACCAATGGTATGTGCGAGTTTTCTTTGTAATCTGAGTGAACCATGTCTTAACTTAAAGAAATACTTCACTGTCAAAATTCAGATCACTTGTATCGGTAATACACCGTGTTACCTCGAATTTGGGAAGAAAACTTTGTTTTGTTTTTGCATGCCTCCATGATGATCGGAGAATCCAAAAAGAGAGAGAATTCTTGACGAATTGGAGTAAATGGGGGCTACACTTAACAACAGCAAATACCAGTGGAGTTCCAAGAAATTTTGTGGCCATATGGGGCCTCTGACAATCCTCGGTTGGCAAACCAACACCAAAAGCCATAACTGAATTTCAGGAATAACATTATGCTGTTGAAGTACATAGGCTAGTTGAAAACTATGTCATTACCGGTACAGTTAACATGTCTTGGTCTTCAAAAAGGCTGGTTTCTTTGATTTCTTGAGGTGAGAGTTTAAGGGATCCCTTTTAAAATGGCCATCCCTGTTGTTCCCTCGCCAAAATGTAGCCGGACACTGCAGGGTTATTTAGCACCCTTCTCAACAAGCTATGCTGACATGGTACCAATGGATGCTGTCTAGTTTCATAAGATACCACTGTCTTCAGGCTTGCTTAAAAAATGAACATGCCACAGTCTCTTGAAGACAGTAATGTCTTTAAGAGCCCCCGGCCTTTCTCTTGGAGGTGCCACTGGCAAACACATGTGTTGGGACTTTGCTCAATGGAATGCATGAGCAGAGTTTCAACACACGTGCTCTCCTAGGCAGACTACTCAAGGTTTTAGCTCAAATGCACGAGTTTGCAAAGTACAGACTTTGTATACGACTTGATAAACAGGACTTTGACGATACAGCACAAGTTGTGTAAGAGTTTGTAAACAGATGTTACATGTGGCCCGCTTTTTCTACAATTCGTCAATAATTTTCTCATTTTTTTGGATTCTTCGTTCACCGTGGAGGCATCCCTGAATTCAGCATAACACAGGGTGAGTAATTTATGTGCATGTGTCATTTTGTGGGTGAAGTAAAAAATTTCCCAGAATAGGAATGATAAACTTTAAGTATTCTTACTTGAGCCACCTCCACTCGTTCTTCCTGCACCAAACGATGATCCAGATCCACCATAACTATTCCCAGTTGATGGCCCTTTTCCTGTTCCAGTTCCTGTCTTACTTTGTCCTGAACTACTGCCCCCAAACCCGAACCAAGATAAGCTGCTTGACCCACTTTTACTTGTCGATCCAGTCGACCCAGAGGATGACCCAGGGCTAGTGGGGGTTTTCAGATTTGTTGTTGGTTTATTTGCGCCTATCCCACTCGACCCACTTGACCCAGAGGATGTCCCTAAGGGTGATGTGACTTTCGTGTTCACTGCTGGCTTATTTGCTGTCCCACTAGAGCTAGAGCTTGAGCCTAATGAACCAAAGCTTGAGAAAAGTCCCCCAGTTGATGCTGGCTTACTGACTGATGACCCACTGGAGCTACTGGACCCAGATGACGAGCTTGAAGAGCCTGGCTTATTGTATGTTGACCCACTGGAGCTACTGGATCCAGATGAAAAGAGGGACAGGCTTGAAGAGCCTGCCCCAGTTGATGGCTTATTGTATGTTGACCCACTGGAGCTACTGGACCCAGAGTTTAAGAGGGATGAACTTGAAGAGCCTGCCCCAGTTGATGGCTTATTGTATGCTGATCCACTGGAGCTACTGGACCCAGAGTTAAAGAGGGATGAGCTTGAAGAGCCTGCCCCAGTTGATGGCTTATTGTATGCTGATCCACTGGAGCTACTGGACCCAGAGTTAAAGAGGGATGAGCTTGAAGAGCCTGCCCCAGTTGATGGCTTATTGTATGCTGATCCACTGGAGCTACTGGACCCAGAGTTAAAGAGGGATGAGCTTGAAGAGCCTGCTCCAGTTGATGGCTTATTGATACCTGACCCATAGGAGCCTAAGTTTGAACCCAACCCACCTGACCCTACCCTACTAGTCTGACTTATACCATAAGAGCTGGAACCACCACCAGAGGGCAAGCCCCATGCAGACTGGGACTGTGTGCCTGGCCGAGAGGCTGAGCCTCCTGGAAGTCCACCAAACCCTGCCTGAAACAAAATGAGACCAATGTTAATATGTGGAAACTGACTTTAACCATTTGTTTTAAAAAAAAAAAAAAAAAAAAAAAAATAGCATTAAAGGGACAGTTCACCCCAGAATCAGAATTACATATTTTTCCTCCTATGTGTAGTGCTATTTATTGGCCGTAGAGATGTCTGCCTTCTCTTGTGGTGCTCAAAGCGCCAAAAATACATTTGAAAAACTCAACAGCAATGTCTCTTTCTAGAACTCATGACATGGTTACTCAAAATAATCCACAGACCTTGTTGTGAGCAGTTTCATTTCACAACTATTTTCTACCAACTACATCCGCCAACTGTATCAATCTGCAGAAAGAAGTGTGCATCTACTCAGGATTAGGGAAAGGTTTGTGCTCATGATGTACATAAATGGCGTCCTCCTCAGCTGACCTGTAACGTTAGCTAGCTCAGTTGTGCTAAGTGAGCTAGCGGTAGATGAGCGCTTGATATGGTTGGCGAGTAAAGTTTGTTTGGAAGAAAATAGTTCCTTTATGAAACTGCTCACAACAAGGTCTGCGGATTATCTTGAGTAACCCGGTCATGATTTCTGGTTTTGATTTGAGTTCACGATTTCTTTGAGCACCACAAGCCGAGTGCCATTATATTCAAGAGAAGGCAGACATCTCCAGCACTCAGCAGCTTACACCAAAACAATCTAGACTGATAAATAGCTCTTACCTGTAGAGCTATTTATCTAGACTGATAAATAGCTCTACAGGTAAGAGGAAAAATATCTGTTTTTTTGTTTTGGGGTGAACTGTCTGTTTAGCATTATGTGATGCAACCAAAGTATTTTAAATTGATACAACATATGACTATATTGAATTACATGTTCTTTTTTAAGATGCAAGCCCCTGATTTGAAAAACATAAAGCTCCATGTCCAGGTTCTCAATTTGTTCTTCAACAAAAAGGCATTTAAAGGTGCAGTCAGTTATTCTAATCCAGTACATCCATCGCATCATGGTCCACTAGCTGTCCTTTTTGCATGTGCGTTGAAAAAAAATGGTGTTCATACACAGCCCTGGCTCTGTAAATAGGAAACAAAGTGGCTTGGATTGAGCCGCACAACATTATTCCAGCCAAACAGCAGGTGTTCATGCTCATGCACAGAGCAGAGGAAAGACCACTGATGTATAATGAGAAAGGCAGCCGAGCTTCTGATGGGGCACTGACAGGATAGGTGTTTTCATCTGGTCATTGAGTTTAAACATCAACAATCTTTCTCCACAATTGCTGACTACACCTTTAACATAACTGCCCCCCTCTGCCCTCTTTACTGGCATAGTTTCCCTCCCAACCTCCTCCTCTGCACTCAAAGCTGGATCATTTCCAACAACCTGTCAGGCTGCTTTGATCTCATACACCTTATGTAAGATGTTAAGATCTCAAAGCACTGAGATCCGGGCTTTGTTGGTATTTCTACAGGTGTTATATAAGCAAATGTGTCTACTGATACTGCACAGATGGAGTATTATTGGCAGCAAAGCTCAAATTCGTGTGCAAAATGCTGCACAAACGTATACAGATCATTACATATAACAGGTTTTATAGTTAATGTCAACAGAAATGTGACAACCACCTGTGTGCCAGTGTATACACTACATTTAGAGAATCTCCACCAGCATTCTCTGCATGTACGTAACATCCGCTGCTGCTGTTTACAGCTGGTGGTTAGTTCACTGATTGAAACTTTCATTGTCTTTTGTCATTTTAACCGCCTTGACTGGAAAACAGCTTCACTAAAAACAACAGCTACCATTGTTCAAGATGTTTACAAGATTGTTCTCGGAACTCAATCATTCATTTATTTTCCATAACCGCTTATCCTGTTAGGGGTCACAGAGGGGTCTGGAGCCTATCCCAGCTGACATTGGGCGAGAGACAGGGTACACCCTGGACAAGTCGCCAGACTATCACAGGGCTGACACATAGAGACAAACAGCCATTCACACTAATATTCACACCTACAGGCAATTTAGAGTCACCAATTAACCTGCATGTCTTTGGACTGTGGGAGGAAGCTGAAGTACCTGGACAAAACACACGCTTACACCCCTGCAGAGCTGTTAACATGTTCATGAAATCACCAGTGTAATTAGTGTACTTTTGCTCTTACCTTGAACATGCAGGACATGTTGAGTTGCTTCAGTTGCTCGCCCATGTGATCAATCTCTCTACTCTTATATTTGATGTTGCTTTTCAGGACATCTATCTCTCCATTCAGCCTCATCTTGTCTATCAGGAGTCTCTCTTTCTCCTCATCATATTTGCGCTGCATCTTGTCCAAGTTCTGTCTGTTCTGCAGGATCAGGCCCGTGCGGTTGGTGCTGCACCAGCGGTAGTCTTCAGACAGTCGCCAGTTCTCTGCCTTCAGGCGGCTGTTCTCACCCTGGATCTTTGACACCTGTGTTCCCACATTATTCAGGTAACGCTGGAACTTGTCCTCCACTTCCAGGGACAGGCTGGTACAGTTGGTGCGGATCTGCTCCAGGTGCTCCCTCTGTCTGGGACAGGTGAGGTGGAAGGGGCTGTGCAAGGGGACGAGGGAAGAGATCTTGTCTAGGAAAGCCTTGGAGACGTTGGAGATACCACTCAAAGACTGAGTGAAGTCATCTTTGCATTTTTGCCTGAAGAAGTCCACCTCCTTCTCATGTGTGGATCTTTCCCTCCGCAGACGGATGACCTCCAAGTTAAGGTTGTCCCTCTCTTTGGCGGTCTGGTCCAGTTCCATCCTCATCCTCTGTGTGGTTTGCGTGAAGTTGGACTCAACAAGCTCAAGCCTTGCTTTCAGCCGTTCAACCAGCAGCCCACAGTTACAGGTATCAGGGAGTTGTACTGCTCAGAAAAACAAGAGAAAAGAAGTGGATAACACATGCATCTTTTCCATTATAGCGGCTGTTTCCTTTATTTACGTGGTTATTTTTGGGTTTACATTTAGAAAGGTCATACTTACATGTGGGTTGGCAGTGGGAGTTGTAGCGTCCTGAGCTCTTGCAAAGGAACAACTCGCTGTAGCACTGTTGCTGTTCGTATCAGAGAAAGAAAAGCCAGTAATGTTTTAGTGGTTTGGTCTAAACTAGTTGTGAAATCAGACAAACAAGGAAAATAACTGATCATTTACAGTTTATTATGTTAGCACTGTCAACATCAACACTAAAGTACTCTGACTCATAATAATGATATTAAAAAATAATTTGTTGGGTTGCCTTTTGTTCTGAAAACTATAAAAGAATATCTCAGAACTACATTTTACAATCCCATACATTGAAATAGACATAAATATAACTACATTTAGACAGTGATCAGTGGTGCAAATATACTCAGTATTTGAAACCAATGTGAGGCTTTTAAAGCCCTTTAGATCATTAGAACACTTTTTTGAGTATATGTGACAATTCACTACATCAGGGGGTGAGTATTTTGTGCTAAATAAATAAAATCATAATTAATATTATTTCTATATTCTCAGAATAATTTAGTTGAACTTAAACTGTTGCATGATTTGAGTAAATAGCTCATGCTCAACTTAATTATTCTGGTGTGTTCATGAATTGTCACTTATACTCTATCGATGATTAGTTAAAGGGGAACTACGCCCATTTTCAAAATCCATACGTTATTCTAAGACAATCCAAAAATGTTCATAAACATTAACAACTCTCTTCCAAATAAAAAAACTATAGTGCTAAAACTCCAATTTGTGATGTCATCAAGTATGAAGTCAAACTATTACTATGACACAGAGAGCACTGAGTACATCTCTGGGTACATTTTCTGTTTCAGAACTACAATAGAATAAAACTCATTTGGGTATAAAAACATAAAACAGTCAGTGGCTCCACAAAATCAGGCTCCTAAAATACTGGAATTATCAATTTAGGTTGCATTCCCCTTTAAACACCCACAGAAACAGCTAAACTTCTGAATTTCTGAATCTCAACTAGTAAGCTGTTGATATCAATGGCGTAGTTACGGACCTCAGTGCACGCTATTGTGACAGGCCCTAGTGCACGCACACACCACTGGCAACTGTTCATAAAAACCCAAAGGAGTCCAGTTTTTGCCTCCTGTTGGTTCCTCTCTTGTCCTTTCTTACTGCCACTTTTCAGTCTAAAAGACATGACTGCTCGCTGGGCTTGTAGATTTGCTCAGCTTGTCAGCCTTGACAGATTTTGCACCTAGACTAGCTACGGTATTGCATCGTCTTGTCACATGATCAAACAGAGACTTGACATTAGCCAACATCAACATACGTGTTACCCAACAATCATCATTGCATACCTGTATATGACAATATAGGTTGCAATCTCAATCATTCGCATGCCCTCCACCTCACAGGTCCCAGTGCAACCACACTGCCTGCACTGTCTATATTTATGCCTCTGGTTGAAGGGTTTCAAATACTCTATTTATCTCTATCTCTAACTATCTGCAGCCATTTGATCCAAATAAAGCGTTTTTCTTGCAGGTATATTGAATCTTTTTTCCTTTCTTCTGTATCTTATCTTACAGTGACACAAACACATCCACATGTTCATTTCTATGGCTGCTGAAAGGTTAGCAGTTCAATACCGTATAAGACACAGAGGCAATATTACAGACAGGAACGTGCATCCAAAAGGCTTAAAAAAGGCTCAGTTTCTCACCATCTTCCTGTCCATATCTTGGATGAGAATGGCTGAGATGTTGGAGAAGTAGCGGAGGTTGACCAGGTCCCAGTCATTACGGGCTTTCTCTGTCAGGGTGGTGTTGAGTAAGTTGGTCAGGTTCTTCCTCTGCTGCCTCAGTAAGACGTTTTCTATGGAGAGTCGGCTGAAGCTCTCCTCCAGGTCATGAATGCGTGACATGGATGCCGAGTCCTGCGACTTACCATAGACCAGAAAGAGCACCAGGCTGACTATGATGAGAGACTGAATGAGCGAGGAGAAGAAGAAGACAATGCGCATGTAGTAGCCGCAGCTCTTGCCCTTTGAGCGGTACTGCATCTTCTTTTGGGCATGCGGGCTGGACTTGGAGACGTGAGAGTAGCCGCTGCTGTACATGGGTGCTGATGGCCACACAAAGGGTCAGTAAGAAGTGGTGAAGTTTGAGGATGACTACGAGCAGCAAGCCAAGTTCAAACTAAGTTCATCTCTATATCAGAAGACAGACACGTTCCTCCTCAGCACTCCGCAAGCCAAATGAACAAATAAAACAATGCTGAATTATTTTAGTGCAGCCTGATGATTCAGTCCATTTCTTGTAAAGTTGTGCAACCTTTCTCTAACAAAGCCAAAGGCACTAATGACGCTGACCATACGTTTCCTACCAGCAGTGTTGACAGCTTGGAAATTGATCAGATTGTGTGTGAGGTGTAAACATGGGTAAGAATTTATAAACTCCAGCCACACACTTCCCATGATGGGAAGTTGTCCTGGCCTCAGTCCCCTCCCTCCTTTAGCTATCTCCGTGCTCTGGTGGCTGCCCCTCCCTATGCAGAGCTAATCAACACACACACACACACGTGGCCAGCACGCATGTATGTATAGTACAAACCAACCCTAACACACACACACTCCCCCATGTTTTTTGACCCTGGGTCAGTGCTGGACCTAGTATATTTAGGACCTTAGGAAAGCTTCCACTGCCCACATCCCAAAATATTATTAGGGCCCGAGCACAACATGGTGTGAAGACCCTACTGAAATCCTAGGAATTTTTCTTCTTCTTCCTCGTCCTCCAAATGAATCTCATTTTTGAGGGCCTAAAGGTGCTTGAAAAGTCATGGAACTTTGGGGTGCAAGAAAACAGTTCAGTAGCACCCCTTACAAAATTTCGACGAGGCAGGCCCCGAAGCTGGCTTCACCGACATGTATGAAACTTGGCAGGCACATGTAACACTTCAAGACGTACAAAAAGCCTCTGAAGCCAAACCCTAAACCCAACAGGAAGCCAGCCATTTTGAATTTTATATATAATTTTTGTGCAGTTCTGGCCATTTCCAATGGTCATACTTCAACAAACTCCCCCTACAGATTTAATCTGATCGACTTCAAATTGTGCCTGTATCATCTGAAGACCTTGGACATCAAAAGTTGCTTAAGGCTTCAGTTTTTGTCAAACTGTGTCTCCGTGGCAAGCAGTCAAATTTTGATGTTTCGCCACCAAACAGGAAGTGGTTTGTAACTCCAGCATACATCTTTGAATCTGCCCCAAACTTCACATGTTTTATAAGGCTCCAATCCCGAAGCCTACTACATGCACATTAGGTGTCATGGTGATTGTGCCACCGACTGGAAACAGGAAGTAAGACTTGTCAGTCAATTATCTTTTGATTTACCTGAAATTTACATGGTGGGGTCTACAATTGATTTACAGCAACATGACGTATAATTAGTGTGTTCTCCAGTGCCACATAGTGGACACAGGAAGTGGTACAAAATGTGAAATAGGTCATTCCAACACCCACACTTTATGAACTATATACCATCTCACTCCTGTGTGCAGGGTTTGACTTTCAAAGAAAGAAACAGCCCCCAGAAAGTGTGTCAGGCTTTGAAGTCAATTTTCATGGTCAAATAGTGGAATTACATTGTGAAAGAGACATCTGTAAAGCAGTGGATACATTTTTTTTTGAGGGTCACAACCCCCACGAAATGATTCGTTTCATTATCAGGATTTGATCCATTCAGTCCAGTAACATTTGGATAGTCTAGAGGAGCCGCAAGATTAAATCATTTTATCTCCACTCAAGTTAGCAGAGCGTTAAACTGGAAGTAGGCGGCAGAAGTCTTGAGTGTGCTAGCTCTAATCGGAGCAACGATGACAGCGGCAATCATGCAGGTAATTTCTTAGAGCTATTTTGGCTTTATGTGCCACTGAACAACTTTCATAGGGATGAACGCGACCCTGCCTCCAGCACTGTATCCAGGTCTCTTAATACATCCAGTATTCAGTATACAGTTGCTGCCTGGAAATACCGACAAACCACGCAGCAACGTTTCACACATCCAAACCTCGTTGCCTCTGGTGGCTTTTGCCTTTTCTTTTACTCTAGTGTACACACACTCCACTCCACCATTTCCCTTATGTTTGATAAATTAAGCCATTTTAATGTTGACACTGTTGCAGCAAAAACATTTGTGATGTTTGGAATCAGCTTAAAACCTCATTTCATTAGCATTTACGGTTTAAAAAAATTAGTATGAAGTTTGAACGCAAAGTAGAAAAGTCTATAGAAAGTGGAGCACATTACACCAGCCCTTGAGTCACTTCACTGGCTTCCTGTATGTCAAAGAATATCTTTTAAAATCCTTTTATCTGTCTATGAAGCACCAAATGGTCTCGGGCCTAAATTCATGTTTGATTTACTTGGATGATATGAAGCATCCAGACCCCTCAGGTCACCTGGGGCAGCGGGTTTGCTCAGCATTCCCAGGATCAAAGCCAAGCAAGGTGAAGCAGCTTTTAGTTTCTATACTCCCCACCTGTGGAACAAGCTCCCTGAATACCTGATGTCTGCTGAAACTGTTAACTCGTTGAAATCAGGGCTTAAAACATCATTGTTCAATCTGCAACTATTTATTTGCTTGTTTTTGTTTGTTTAATTGTCCTTAATGTTTTTGCCTTTTTTTCTCTTCTCATTTTCTTTACCAATTCATTTATTCCTTGTCTTTTGACTATAATTTGAATGTTTTCTTGATTGTATTAAATGTCCTTTTATGCCCCTGTAAAGCACTTTGACTTGCCTTGTGTCTGAATGGTGCTACATAAATAAACTTGCCGTGCCTAAATGTTATTGATTAGGTGACATTTACACTGACAACACCCTCTGTTCTCTGTTGTGTAAACCAACAGGCCATAAAGACCTCACCAAACACCCTCCCAAACATCTTTATGGGATCATGAGCAGTCTTTTCCGGTGCACAGCAGGCCAGGAGGACAATGGCTCATGTTGTCCTTCTGACGCTCTCATTCGGTGGCTCTTTGATGCCGCAAGTCTCAGTCCAACACAATGACGTGGGTAAGCTGCCCTCTGTCTCACAGGACACAGACACACACACACAAAGAGAGACACTCAATTGAAAATGAAATAGAAGAGCCTGACAGTAACAGTCACAACTTTTTCCTGCCAAGCATTGTTGTCGTGCCAGGCCTCATCTTGACAGGAAGCAGTAATTCATAGAGGAATTGTTGATGGCCAAACCTGCGACAACGTTCTGGATGAGATCCGAGATAAAAAGGCACCAAGAAACGCAGGAAATCAGAGACAAATACGAGAAATAAACTTTCACAGTGTTGATTTGATTGAATCTGAAGGGGGTTGTTTTTATCATCACTTCTAAACACTGCGGGTAAGGAAGAGGGTTTTTTTTTATGTATACACATTTGGATGCAGTCATGGGGTGTTGCCAACGTGGCTGACACAGTTCTGTTGTAGCAGTTTTCATGCAATAGAAATATAATTCTGATAAATAGAGAGGGAAATTCAATCATATTTACTCATTTACATTTACAGCAGACTTAAAACTAAGCATGATATAAAACCAGGCGCTGATACTGAAACAGAGGTTGTTATCAGTTCTGTGTAATGAGCTTTGAAAGCCAAAATACCTCACGAGAAAGAAGTTAAAGGGATAGTTCAACCTCCAAAAATCAAAAACACATACTTTTCCTCTTACTTGTGGCACTGTTTGCTAGCTGAGTTGCCAAATTGATATGAAGCTACAGCCAGCAGCTGGTTGATTGGAAACAGTAATCAGCGAGCCTGGAATCTTGTCATTGAGGTTGGCAGGCATTTTGAGGGTTGGTGTCCACATAGGGTTTCTCTTTGGCAGAAAAGTGGTGGCAGGGCCCTGGGGAGCACTTCATCCCAACGCTTCATAAAAAAGCACTCCCAACACTTTATTTACTGACAAACTGTGTGAGGGTTTCATTTCAATGACAACAATAACTGAACCCCAAAAACAGTAGTTGGCAGCAGGCTTTCTGTGAAATGCTGTAAAGTTTACTTGATCCAAAACACATACTAAACACACATTAATGACACATTAAACATGGCTTAATAGAGACAATTTCAAACACAAGTACACAAATCAGCTTCACTGTAACTCGCAGCATTCACAGACAAAGCACTTGTCTTTATCTGGACACTTTTTCCCCACAAATACAACATGCTAATGTTATTAGCACAAGCCTATGGCATTTTACATTGTATGAATTAGGCTAGCAGCTAGCGGACTTTTCCTCTACTCAGATGAAGTCAGGGACAACAGCAACATTTAACAAAAGTAATGCTGCAAAATTTGGCTTACAACTCACAGGGTTCACTGACAAAACAACTGTCTTATACTAAACACGTTTTCCAAACAAATACAACATGCTAACGTTATTAGCACAAGTCTTTGTATAAATTAGCCTAGCAACTAGCAGAAATTTCCTCAACTCAAAGGAAGCCAGGATAAATCACACACAAGACTTAAAATGATATTTAGTGGAGGCTTTATTGTCTTCACTATTTACTGTTTCTTATCTTTGAAATTAAAGTAAATAAAAGCTTTGTTTCCACTGAGGGAAATGGTTTCAGCTTACAGAAATAGACAGGAGGTCTGCTTTTCCACAACGTGCACTGTTGCCAACTCCTCAGTAAGAAAAGTAGCTATTGGCTGTCCTAAAAGTCGCTATAAGCCGCTAAATGACATCATTGCCTAATTTGCATAATTGTCCATTATGCATGTAATTGTAATGACTGCTGTAGGAGAGAGGAATAACGCCATGGAAGAGACAAAAATTGAGTAAAAAAACACTCTGAATATGTTTACAACTACAAATGAACCTTCTTTCAGTGATTTATTTTAGACAAAGAAAATTTTACATTTACATCCCGCCCTGACTGTAAACCATGTCGGGATCAGCCAGTGGCGGTTCCGCTCATGCGCGATTCACTTGCAGTCTGGACGTGGAGGGGTTAACATCTCCTGCTCTGACTGCTGCTGGGAGGGAGGACTGGGCCGCCTTTGAGTGCTTTGGGGCGAGAGAGGAGTCCACGGCAGCATCCGCTGCTCGTTGAGAAGAATAAGAATGATAGGTGCTCTCACAACAGTCTCCAGAAGTCTTCAATAACATCAGAAAAAGTTGCTAGATTTGTCGCTAGTCACTTTTTTGAAAAGAGTCGCTAGAGGGGTCTGAAAAGTCGCTAAATATAGCGACAAAGTCTCTAAGTTGGCAACACTGACAACGCTTAGTAACATTTCTGGGGAGGTGCATGTCAGGCTACGGCCTTGATTCAGTGCAGAAGTATAAATCCCACTTTGCTCTTACGTTTTTGTACAGAGTAAAGAAACAAGCTATA